TATGGTCTTATCAATTATTATATGCTCACTAAGATAAAGTTTAAAAATGACAAGAAAAAAAATGAAAATTTCTTGAAAGCAAGCATTAATATTCCATTATTTGTCCAATCTTGCATAAGTATATCTGTTAATCTGAGCAAGAGATGTGACATTAAAAATAGATCATTACCATTGCTAGTTAGCTATTGCTGTTTTGAAAATCTGTAACATATGTATTCATGTATATCACCCTGTTCATGTCATTTTTTCCTATTTGCTTTTGCTTCTGTTTTTACTCTTCAAAATAAATACATAAAAAACAAAAAAAATTTAAGGCATTTACACATCTTCAGTAAAATATTTTATAAGTAGTTGAAAATTATTTCTGAAAATGGGATTTATAAATTGCTTAGAACTCAAAGCACTTTCTATTGAGTAAGAAATAATAAAATTGACACCTATGATAGTTTCCAGTGTCTTGAAGTGATGTCAAAAATGGTTATTCAGTTATCCCAAAAATATAATAATATTAAAATAAATAAATGAAAAATTATAAGTTGATTATATTGTGAATTCAAATTATAATTTAATACTTATTTGTATTTTAAAGTATTAAAATTACTGGTATCACCTCATGTGTTAAATAAATAGGTAAAAATCAAATCTTAGATAATCAGTGATACATAAAAGTGGTGTCTCTTACCGTTATCAATTTGCCTACAAGACGGGCATCAATATGTTGAGCCAAAAATTAATTGGGATCATTTTCCTGATTTAGCTTCTGATTTTATCCATTTATTTGGTAAACATCATGGAGCTTATTTTAAGCGCACGGCGCAGCAGTGTTTCAGAAGACAGAAAACACCTCTTCTCAAGGATCCACAGAGACATTTTTATCTTGGTACCAGGCGCAGAAAGGCCCTTGAGCTTGTCGGGAAGGCCCCTGAGCTACGTCTCTGACGCTGAGCCATAGAGATCGACTCATAGGACAGCAGGTGTTTGGGGATTATCCCGTAAACTCCCTGAAGTTGTGCGTGGCGTGACAAGTATGCAGGGTACTCTGGAAGTGAGCGAAGGAGAACTCTCGGGTAGGATGGCGAGGAAATATCAGTTATTTTCCAAGTAACTGGCACTCATGCTTGTTTTAGAAGAAACTTCATGGCCTAAGGGTATGCTAACATTTTATTAATAAATTTGGCATCTTTAGTGGTCCACTTCTTGTCCAGGATAAATTTTAGCTGCAAGCATTAGCTGGTATTTTATAGTTCAGCTTCCTTAATGACTTGTTTTTTAAGAAATGATTTTTAGGATAAATACCCCAAGCATGTGTTTTTCTTGAAGAGTCGTAACACAGAGATTTGAAGTCAATTCAAAATTATATTTTCCAGATTTCTATAATAAAATATATCTTCATTAATTGAAGCATGCCAAATTGTAATAAAGTAACCCCAAAACACTTAAAATTAAGTATTTTGCAGTGCATGTTTGCTATAAAAATCTGCCATTATTTTGAGCATAAAAGACTACCATCTAGTAGCCCGTTACAGTCGTGTTCTCTGTGCTTCGATAAAATACTCGAGACCCATAACTCAAAAGAGAAGAGCTTTATTTTGGCTCATGCTTTCAGTCTCTGTGTGGTCAGCTGGCCCCAAGCAGACACATCAGGGTGGAAGACACACAAGCAATGTGCACAACCCCGGCCGCCAAGAAGCAGAGAGAGAGAAGAGAGAGCAGGAGAGGAGAACACACGTTCCTAGCGCGGAGGCCCAGCATCCCTCTGCTTCCCCTGAGGCCCTGAGCCTCACAGCTATGAGCTTATCCAGGGATTGATCCACGTGCCCCATCCAACCAACTCCAGAGGTGCCACCTCTGGACTTCTGAGAGCGTTGAGGGACATATTAGATCTGAATGACGACATACTTACTGCCTGATTAAGTTAGTCTTGTTGGATAGTTAATTTCAACAGTGAAAAGCAATATGTGAAAACTTTCTTAATTGCATTTGGGATTTAGATTCTGAATTAGTATAAGGAAGATACATATTTTGAAATTCAGATGGCATTGGAGTTACTGTGCTTGTAACTTGAGAGTTTGATTTAAATACATCTGTGCTGCATTCAGGGTGAAAAATTAGAATCACTAATGTGTTGAAAGGCAGCAGGAAGAAGAAATAAATATTGAAGTGCATGGTATTAATTTTAAGTGTTTATAGATATTAATGTTTCTTTCAATAAGAGGCATCTTAAAACTTTATGATTCCAAAATTGAATAATTAGCAATTCTCTAAGAAAGCTAGCTTTTTGAGTAAATATATTTTTCTTTGGTAGAATAAAAATGATGCTATACAGCAGACTCACGGGCTTTCACGGGCACATAAAGCATTCACATCACCATTCCAGGAAAACTGTTTTGCTAAATGTATTGCAAATCCCCAGCAGCTCGTTGCATGTGAGCTTTGTAATGCAACAATGTGGGAGTTATGTCAAATATCCAGTCCTTATTTTCAAAGCAAAAATTATTAGT